TTATTTCCTCCGTCGTGGGTGAAGTTGTATATATATTGCACGGCCAAAGTTGTGGGAGTATTCAATTGCATTTACATTCTATGCAACTTTCTAGATACAAAATCGTGCACGGAAGATTTTTCTGCATGTGTGTGGGTCCCCATTGCATGAGAGAGGCCGGTATCACAACATTCATAACCGAGTTATTTATCATCGGTGGTAGGGCAATCCGACAATAGTCGGCGCCAAGTTGAGATATCGTCAAGTGACAAACACCTTCAAGTCTTCAAGTTTCTTCCTCCTCCCGTCGGCGCCGCCGCGGATCCGCCCCACCTCCGATGGCCTTTGGCCTATGGAGGCGCGGAGGATCTCGGCCCCCCGCCGGCGGGAGGGACCCCGTTCTTGTTTTTGCTAGGTTGAACGTCTTGGTTGGGGCTGTTCGGCGGCGGTGATGTCCTTCCGTAGCAATAATGTCTTTCACGTCCTATCTCCGTCCCGATGGTGCGAATAGCGTTGTTGGAGGATGTGTGGAGGTGTGTCTCCGTCGGATCTCATGGGATTCGGTCGATGCTGGTCTTCGGTGGATCTCTTTGGATCCAGTTTTTGTTTGTCTTCGTTCGTGTGGTTCTAGGTTTGATCTTTCCAATCTACAACTCTCTTCATCGGCGATGGTTGCTGCTCCAGTGTGTTGGTCCTTTGGGGCCTTAGCACGACGACTTCCCGACTGTCTACTACAACAAGGTTTGCCCGGCTCCGGTGATGGAGGGATGATGACGGCGGCGCGCCTTCGGCTCGCTCCAGTGCTTGTAGTCGTCGCTAGGTGGTCCATAGACCTAGTTGTAATTTTTATTACCTCTTGTATTCTCTATACTGCTATGATTGATGAATAGATTGAAAATTTCTCTCGCAAAAAAAAGGGTTATTTATCATCGACTCGTATTTTATGGGTGCATCAGCCGAAGTCTTTGATGGAGGAGCAGGCAGACGTGCTGGCTTATAGTACAAAAAAGTGTGGGAGAAACTTAAGCATGCCCACGAGCAAGTTAAGAAGTAATCAGATGAGGTGGGTTGTATACATGTTTTCGTGTTACTCCCTCTGCCAAAAATGAGAGACTCATTTTGATATGTTTTTAATATAAGATTCTGACCAATATTTTTTAAGTTGATTCTGACCAATAATTACTTGTTTGTTTTCCTGTTCATGTCATAAGAAATTTTCCTGTTTAAAACCATCATATACTTCCTCCGTCACATCCATTTGAGCGACAACCTTTTTGGGACAGAACTTACACAGGGAGTAGTTTTTGATGCAAATCTAATGGTCAAAAAAATTATGTCAACTAAATCTACTACTAATAAAGTAACTAATGGTAAAAAAAAGTTATCTTGAGAAATTGAACTACGTCTTTGATAATGCATATAGAATAGAAAACTAACATGAGTGTTAGCAACTTCGACTTCCAGTTTATTTACTTAACTACTGGAGTACTATAAAAGCCCCATGGCCTGTGATTTGCTTGGCTTGATGAAAGCAAACTATTCCTTTTCATGTCTACTCAACTACAACACGGGTTCAAACTTTACGTTTTCTCCTCAGGCAATGGCCACCAGCCAAAACATGTCCCTCGCCCTGCCTGGTCAGGCAAACAAATCGTATGAATTTCAGGCTACATTCAGGCACCACTTCTTGTAAGACACAGAGCACGAATATTAGTCCGGCTATTGACGAGCTAGTGGCAGTACACTTAGAATAAAAGATAGTCCTGCAAATGCGTGCAGAGATTATCAGCAACTCTCTGCACTATGAAGTGACCATCTCCTGAACAGGTTGTAATGGTAAGTTCACCTCCCAGAACCCCTCCAGCGTCATGGCATCAGCTAGATGCTCATTTACGTGGTTTACTGACACGCTAGGTTCAGGTAAGCTGGCAAAGCTCTCGCTGTGTAGCATCAGAAGCACATCCAACATGAACGCATCGGACAGTCTTGAATGCACAGCAGCGCCACATGAACGCATCTGATGATCTGAGCTGTTTGTTGCTCATTACATGGTGATGATGATGATGCATCAAGAAGCTCGTGGGTCTTTCCTGCTTTCCATAGCTCCCAGGCCTGAAAGAACTCTCATCATTACTCATCTGGGCAACTGAATATGAATCCTTCAAGGGGAAATTTGGTCAATCACACTGCAAAGATGTATAAACTGGAAAATAGTACTCCCTCCGTTCGGAATTACTTGTCTCGAAAATGGATGTATGTAGAACTAAAATACATCTAGATACATCCATTTCTGCGACAAGTAATTCCGAACGGAGGGAGTACACAATATGTGGATGACAGATGGTGCATACATAGATTTCTCACCATAAATAAGTTTCATATGCCATGGCGGAATTAATATACTTAACTGCTTTGCACGTGAATCTCTAGCAGTCATTAATTTTGCACCTTGCTCTAAATTTTTCTTCCTTTGCCATTTTTAGTGACATGGTTCCCAAAATTTGAACCACAAAAGAGACATTCCTAACCAGCAACAAGAATGCTTTTAGGAGAGAAATCATTTTTACTACTCCCTCCGTCCCAAAATAAGTGTCTCAAACTTTGTACTAACTTTATACTTCCGTCCCAAAATAATTGTCTCAACTTTGTACTAACTTTAGTATAAAGTTGTACTAAGTTCGAGACACTTATTTTGGGACGGAGGGAGTAGTATTTTAGCAAAGGGTAAAGGTGTGTACTCACACGCGTCTGTAGATCCATCATATTTCCATTGGATAATAAAGAAAGACATTTCTTTCGACTTAGGATCTCAATGGCCAACTCTTATCTTAATTAGTACAAGGTTCTCTCGGAACAATTATTATTGGAACAATTATTATTTATTTCAGCCTATTTCGGATCTTTCCTAATCTTCAAAAAGAACTAAATTCCTTAATGGAATGGTAGGATTACAACAAAGGAAGTGTGAAAAAAATTTGGGTGTGGAATCAGAGAATGAGAAGAGGAACAGGAGAACACGAGGTGGGAAAGTTTCAGAGTTCATTCATCTACAACCTCAATCCCTTTGTGGTTACAACCATCGTTGATACATTTACTCCTCCTACCAGCCCCACACAAGGATACCCCTTGGCCCATCTTTTTTTAGAGAAAAGGCCAAGGCCCGACTTTATAGATAAAGCCACCAGGCAGCGTCACGGATACCACAGGTTCACAGGAAATCATAACCACACAGAGGAGTTTAAGAAAAACCTAAGCAAGCATGATACAGGCAACTGCCATACACAGCGCGCAGGCCGGGGAGGAGAAAGACCAAATGTCCGCAAATGACAGCACCAAATTATACGGCAGGGTTCGTCCCGGATATCTGAGAAGCCGAAGCCCAAATTTTGTTGATGAGCAGGTCCAGGGCGTCCCGATCAGGCTCCTTAGTCAATGATCTCCACTGCTGCAAGAATATACATGATTTGAATAGAACATCAGCAGGTTTAGATGGGAAGGTAAGCTCAATAGTAAATTTGTTTCTAATATTCCATAAGGCCCAGCATAAGGCTTCCAAGCCAACCCAAAATACCCTCTTGGTGACCCCGACCAAAGTTTTAGCTAGAGTTCTAATATCAGAAAAAGAGGAGGGATTCCAAGAAATCCGAAGCCAAGATCTGACGCATCTTATAGCCGAGGCACGAGTTAGAGACCACACACTGACACTTAGAAAATCAATGAGAGAACCCAAATAAGCAGTGGTGGTTCCTTTCCTGGTGCCTACTATTCCCTCTTACACATGATATATGTTTTTTTTTCTGTCTTCTTTTCATCCTTTCCATGGTATAGTGGACTGCCACCTATTTCTTGTACGGAAACTCCAAACTATATGGTATTGTCAATGTGTGGGTAAAGGATATCATGCAGCTGGATGGTTTCCTCGGCCGTGGATGGAGTAGTATATATATTGCACGACCAAAGTTGTTGGGGTATTCACTTGCATTTACATTGTATGCAACTTTCTGGATACACAATCGTGCACGGAAGATTTTTCTGCATGTGTGTGTACCCATTGCATGAGAGAGGTTGGTATCACAACAGACATATCCGTAGGGGTTATTTATCATCGAGTGGTAGTTCATGGGTGCATCAGCCAAAGTCTTTGATGGTGGAGGAGGCAGATCCTGCTGGCTTATAGTACAAAAAAGTGTGGATGGGGAGAAACTTAAGCGTGCCCACAGGCAAGTTAAGAAGTGCAGATGAGGGTGTTAAAAAAAAGTGATCAGATGAGGTGGGTTGTATCCATCTTTTCATGTCTCCCTCTGCCAAAAATGAGAGACTCATTTTGATATGTTTTTTATAAAAGATTCTGCCAGTTCAATTTTTTTTAAGATTCTGCCAGTATTTTTTAGTTGATACTGACCAATAATTACTTGTTTATTTTCCTGTTTCTGTCATAAGAAATTTTCATGTTTAAAAACATATATTAAGCTACAAAGGGAGTAGTTCTTGATGCAGATCTAATGGTCAAAAAAAATCTACTGCTAGTAAAGTAACTAATGGTAAAAAATAAGTTATCTTGAGAAATTGGACTACATCTTTGATAATGCATTTAGAATATAAATCTAAAATGATAATGCATTTAGAATATAAAGCCAAAATGATAAATGTAGATCGGCTTAAGGGAGTGTTAGCAACTTCGTCTTCCACTTTATTTACTTTACTAGTGGAGTACTATAAAAGGCCCATGGCATGTGATTTGCTTGGCTTGATGAAAGCAAACTATTCCTTTTTCTGTTAACTCGTCCACAACACGGGTTTGAACTTTACGGTTTCTCCTCAGGCAAAGGCCACGAACCAAACATGTCCCTCGGCCTGCCTGGTCAGGCAAATAAATCGTATGAATTTCAGGCTACATTCAGGCACCACTTCTTGTAAGGCACAGAGCACCAATATTGGTCCAGCTATTGACGAGCTAGTGGCAGTACAATTAATAAGATAGTCCTGCAAATGCGTGCAGAGATTATCAGCAATTCTCTGCACTACGAAGTGACCATCTCCTGAACAGGTTGTAATGGTACGTTCACCTCCCAGAACCCCTCGAGCGTCAGGGCTTCAGCTTGATGCTCATCTGTGTGGTGGACTGGCACGCTAGGTGTAGGTAAGCTGGCGAAGCTCTCGCTGCGTAGCATCAGAAGCACATCCAACATGGTAGGCCGGTGCATCGGACAGTCTTGAATACACAGCAGTGCCACATGAATGCATCTGATGATCTGAGCCGTTTGTTGGTCATTACTTGGCGATGATACATCAGCAAGCTCGTGGGGCTTTCCTGCTTTCCATAGCTCCCAGACCTGAAAAAAACTCTCATCATCATTCATGCGGAAAGTAGAATCCGACATGAGGGCGTAGCGGCATCGGAGCTCATATACAACTTTCCCAATCCAATATAAGGATGGCAGATGGTGCATAAATAAATTTCTCGCAATAAACTAATGTAGTGGAATTAATATGATTTAACCGATTTGCACATGAATCTCTACACATTCATTCATTTTACACCTTGCTCTAAATCTTTCTTTCTTTGCCAATTTTAGTGACATGGTTCCCAAAATTCACCCCCTAAAAAAGAGAGATTCATCATAAAATTCTAACCAGCAACAAGAATGCTTTTACTACAAAGTACAAACGTAAGATGAGAAATCATTTTGACAATTTTAGCAAAGGGTAAAAGGTTTGTACTCACACGCGTCGGTAGATCCATCATATCTCCATTGGATAATAAAGAAAGACATTTCTTTCGACTTACGATCTCAAGAATCATGATGCCGAAGCTATACACATCAGACTTCGCTGAGAATTTCCCAGACCTGATATATTCTGGATCCATATAACCACTGCAAGATTAATACGGAATTGACATATTAGCACAGACAAATAAAGGGAATAAAGGAGCTTCATATCAAAGAAGGCTGGTTTTTTTGGTTAACTCTTACGTTGTGCCTTTAGCAGTGTCCGAAGTCTCTTCAGTCCCGCTAGAAGGTAATATCCTAGCCATCCCAAAATCAGAAATCTTAGGGTTCATTTCATAATCTAACAATATATTATTGGCTTTCAAATCCATGTGGACAACACATTGGTGAGACGATAGGTCATGGAGGTAAACAAGACCCTGAGCTATCCCTTCAATTATATCGAGGCGCTTAGACCAATTAAGTGATTCTCCCGTCTTTGTATCTGAAACAAAATGATCAAACAGAATGCCACTTTCATAATGGTAACGAAAATTTTCTTTCGGAGCTCAACAGAAGATCTAAAATTGAAGTCTAAGTGCATACAGCTGTAGAGAAAAGAGGCCAAGCTCTTGTTTGGCATGTATTCGTAAACTAAAATCATCTCTTCCTGCTGAATCTGAAATCCCAGAAAGTCCTTTTCTCTTTGAATGCAAAACCCAAGTAGCCTTATTACATTTCTATGTTGAAGATTTGCAATTGTTTCAATCTCAGCAGAGAATTCTGCTGAACCTTGAGTTGATGATGTTGCAAATCTTTTGACCGCAATCTCAATCCCGCTAGGTAGTTTTCCCTGAAACCTCAATATCAAGTTCAAAGAACAGATATCAACTTTTTTGTTGTGGACACAGAAAGATAAGTGTGTCTAAGCCCTCTTTTCACTAAGCATAGCAGATCTGAAGACCCATTTTTAAGGGATATCAAGACTCATGTACTTGCAGAATAAGAAACCAAAACTGAATATAGTCTTAGTACATAATCTGTTACAAATCTACATAGGAAACCAAAACTGAACCTAATCTTAGCACATGATCGGATATAATTTATACAGATTTAGGCTTGCGATAAAAATAACTTACTGTGGAACGAAAGGCACGTTCAGATTTTTATTATTTCCTTGCATCATTTAGTTGAGGATAGTAGCTTAATAATATGTGTATTATACTTGAACTAGCTACAAAAGAAATAACTGTAGAATAATTAAGGCTATTTCATAAATACCTTGTAAACATAGCCAAAAGCACCACATCCAACCACATTATCCCATTTGAAATTTTCTGTATACCTTTCGACCTGAGAAAGATTGAACAGCAATAATCTTGAACGTCTTGCAGCACAGAATAGTTTTACAAGTATGTCCTTGCCCACAGCAAGCCGTTTAACCTTGCTTTTTTGTGATCCATAGAAAATATTGCTTCCTGTTATTAATTATGAATTATGGTACATATTAGAAAGTATTTAAAAGGAAATACATGCGTATTACTAGTTTGTAAATAAGGTATGGCTATCATCAATAAAGAAGTAATATTTTCCTGAAGATAAAATGGCTGCATCTGTATTTTACGGATGGCACAAAAGAGTTACACAGTCAATGGCTCACTGCAAGAAGAATACACTTGGCATGGGATCCAGGTGAAGATACATAATAAAGCACACCCACAATTTTCAGGAAACTATTGCAGTTCACGAACCGGAAGGTTGTCATTATCAGTTTTGCAACGGTTCCTGCCAGTTTGTAGGGAAGTACTGATTCCTATCAAAGCCCATAAACTTTCAAACGAAATTAAAAACTAATCGGTCTTCTGCAAAGGCATGTCAAGAGATTTAGTTACCCAAGACTGACACAGACACGTTAAATCAGGGTCATTCTCCTCTACTATTCTCTTGGATCTTACAATCTCCTTAATTGATGCGTCTAATTTAAATTCTCCTTACAAGTACAAATGGCGAGTCTATCTTTACTTGTATTATTGTATATACTTTCCTATGACCTACAGGGAAATGTAGAAGCATAATGTAAGAAAAGGTCAAACTTTCCATATTGCTTGGTGTTTAAACAGAGACGAGCTGATACTTAAGTTAGCATGAGCTATGCTTTGTTTAGAGTGGAGTAGAGGGAATAGACATGAACAAGTACAAACTTCATTTACAATAATAACACTTAATAAAAGCATGTGTTTCCAATTATTACCTACATTACCAAAACAAGATTATTTTGAGTAGGCCCTCCCCTACACTTCTCATTTTCTCAAAAACAAAGCAAATTATGAGACCAAACCAAAAAAGGCAGAATTATGTGGTGTAATATAGGACGTTTGTTTGGAGAAGGCCTAAATCATGTAACTAATTAATGTAATTACTTGTAAATTGTTCCTTATTACCTGGCAAATTCCTGTTTACTCCCTGAAGTCTTGATTCAAGTGTCTCAGCTGTGGCTTCAATCCTGAAATTGTAACCCGGTGCACCAAAAAATAAAATGTAATCTTCTGGGTATAAACATTCATGTGTTTAGGCGATTAATAAAATAGCAAGACTCCAATTAATAAGGCTTATATGATATTCTACAGGAGAAAGACAGGATAAACTACTTTTCTGGTTTGGATCAGTTGCACTTGCATCTGAAATTTACAGTACTGAAGTCTGCATTTTGTGGGAAGGTCTTACAAAAAATCAAAACAATTACCAGTTGGCCATACTTCTATTTGACCAAATATTAGTATCGGTTCAGTTAATAATTTCGAGAAGATGTACATTAAGCAGCTAAATACTTATTTGTTAAAAACATGTTTGTACTTTGAGTGAATGATGAAGAATAAACCAGTTCTGTAACATTTTGACTTCAGCAAGCACATGCACGATGTGCATCGCAATGAATTGGTTTGATTTATCTTGATAGCTGTTTACTGAGATTTCAGTACATACACATGGGCACATGGATGACTGTTTATGCCATGATATCTAAGAAATATAGTAAATTTTGATTCATACTGTACCTAGGTGAAGTTGCATGGCCTGAATCATCTTTTAGTATCTGCGCCTCCTCTGCATACTCCTAGGAGAGAACACAGATGAACGAAAATAAGATCACATGAACATTAGTGCATCTGCAGCACTAAAGTTGTATTTTCACCGTTTAAAGAAACATGCTATCACAGTGAGAATGAACCACTGCCTGAAACTTGTGTTTACTCTGTACTGGTCTACTGGATACTCTTTTGCTAAGAAACATGTTATAACAGTGAGTAGTAACAGAATAGATTTTATGATATCTTTTGCGGTTGCATTACCATGGTCATGATAGCAGTACCAATAGTGTCAGATAACATAATATTCTATTAGACTTGTTTCTCATTAATGATTACAACTGTAATTCTTAAATTAATGGTCATCCATCTAGAACTAGTACCAAAACAATTTTACTCCGACCTCTTGGAACCAGTTGTTTCCCTCTCTCTGGCAGATAATATTTAAAGAAGTAATATAGATGATTTATGAGTAAGAGTCCACTTTATAAATATAATTAAATTCAGTAGTCTAGGACTATCTGCGTGTAGCTATTACCTCTGTAGGTGAAGGTTGACCTCTGCTCAAATGCAGCACCAAGGTACGGGAAGTATCAACATGGCTCACAAGGGGGAAAATCTGGAGGTAGAAGGCGATATCATTCTCCACCTCACGTAACTGGCAAGCCTGATTACCTCCGGTGAAGCAGTGATACATGAAGCTGCTGTCCTGGCAGGTTGTGATAAGCATCAAAACTCGCCGAAGTGTCTCCTCCAGCTGATCCACTGGGTTCCTCGTATCTCGGTGTTGCATCAATTGTGCCTCATGAAGCTCCTGCAGAAGGTCACCTATCATCTTGACGCGTCGCGCGAGCTTTTGGCAGGTCTCCTTGTTCCTCCTAACGGTCTGCACTGCCTCCACAATCATCTTGATCAGCCCATATGCATCTATCCCTGCTAGTTGCGCAACACTGGCCACTTGACCTACACCATTCCATGTTGCCATCTCCTCTAAGAACTGCGAAGAACACCTCCAGAAAATAAGGACTCAATAGCTAGCCAGAACATGTACTTTAACTTGTGAGAGGCTGCAAGTCTGAGAAAGATTTTGTGGGAAAACACAACAGCTAGTATATCACTAGCTTATATATGATTCCTAAGGGGCTTCCTGCGGGGCCTGTAGATGAGAAAATTTTCAAACTCAAGTGTTAACATCTGGGTGAGTCTCCCCAAGAAACTTCCCATGATGTGACGGCCACATGGAAGCGTTGATTCACAGAAAAGGGTGACCACTTGAGAACAAAAAGAGACACAATCTCGAAACTTCCAGGAAGTTTCCGCTGACCTTTCATCTTCATTTTGAATATGGCAGCGGGAGTTTGCCAGGAAAGTCCCCCCTGATGGGCCCACATCTTTACTTTTGGCTCCACTGAGAGCATGTCCAATAGTTGTGAGATAGCTGTCAGGTAGAATGTGTCGTATAGGTTTTCACAATGTGACATCGAACATACAAGGAAAAATTGCAAGATTGTATGTTCATGAATGCACCAGACAGAGTCCCAGAACCTTCAAAACCCCAGATCTCGTCCTGCAACATTTCCTCAAACGCCTGTGATGCAGAGAGCATTCCGTCGATACAGCTCATAGGCTCAATGTTGCTTCATCAGAATATTGTCTCGTGTCAGTGCACTGTCGATCACCAGATGACTAAGCAAGCAGCCGATGGAGAACGGAATAAGCCATCCTCTGGGTGTGGCATTTGTACAACCATCCTCTGAACCACTCTAAGTGGCGGCGCCTCAGGATACAGTGGCTTTCCTCCTGCGGCATTTCCACAAACGACTCGCGGGCGCGGCGTTTCTTGCGAACACCGGCCCCGTCTGGTTAGGCCTCAATTCCAAACGGGAAAATTAGGGAGGGGGCGCGGTTAGGCCTCCAGGAGAAAGGAACGACTAGCGAGTCGGATTCGGAGAGGTACGAGCGACAGCGAAGGATGGTTTCCATCGGGGAGTGTCATGGCTGGATGGATCCCCTTTCTATCATGGGACCGCGTCTGGTGGAGAAGGAAGCCTGATGCGTGGGGTCGCGGGTGCTGCAACAACAACATAGAGTGGGATCCATCCGGCCATGACACTCGCAAATCGACCCCACTTCATGGATCGGATCGCGGGTGCTTCACGACCATCCAGTTGGGTATCGCTGCTCGGGTAGTAAGGCCAACTCCATCCCGCGACCCCAAACGGACGTCCGTTTTGTCCGGTTTCTGTTCGTGTTTGGGTAAGAATATGGGGTCGTATCCGGGCGTGTCCTGGGATGCGGTGGCCATGCGCCCAACGCGCGGCCGCATCCAGTTGCCCCATCCTGCCCAGTTGCCCTATCCTGTCTCCATGCCACGAGTCATCATGGTCGTAGTCAGCACGGTCGTGCCCACCTTCATCGGGGACGTACTCGGCGCGGCCATCCTGACTTTGGTTCTCATCGGGGTCGTAGGCACGGCCACGCCCACCGTCGAAGATCACGTCCTTCATGTAGCGGTTGTAGAAGGGGTCGTCGACCGCTGGCGTTGGGTTGGCATTTCGTCAAACAAGACGCGGGGGGGGCGGCTTGGTGCCCGTGAACGGTGCCCGTGCCTGCTTTCTTAGCATCTCGACGGACGGCCGCCCGCCGCTGCTGGACCCAGGCGTGACGTTGAGGTCAATGGCGGCCGCGGGGCGCGGTGTGGACAGCGCGAACACGTCCGGCGACCCCGAGAAACGGGTCTGGCCGTCGTGCCTTGGCGGAGGGAAGCAGGACGACATGGGCGCGGTGCGCGACGTCGGCGACTGGCAGTGCGTAGGCCGGGCGACCGACGAGCCTGTGCTCGCCGGGCCGACGGCCGCTGCAGGGAACCCGACAGGACGGCCCATGCCAAGCATGAGGATGGCGTGCGCTTTGTTGACGAGGTCCTCCTTCTCGTCGGCAGCGGCCTTGCGCCGCGCGGCCTCCAGCTCCTCGCGCTGGGCGGCGAACTTGGCCGCGGCGGCATTGACCTTGACGACCGCTCTCCGTTCCCTCCTCTTCGCCGATTCCGCGTCCAACTTGGCGATCTCCTCCAGCGTGCACTCCGACCGCGGCTTTCTTGGCGCCTTCTTCTTCACCTTTGCGGGTGGGGCGACGGCCAGGCCGCCGGAACTCGCTGGGGCGTCGGCCATGGAGGGGAGAGAGAGGGGGCGGCCGGAGGGACGTGGGAGGGTTTGGGGCAAATGGCGCCAAATGGGTGTGTGTGTGTGGGGGAGGGGGGGTTGGTTTCTCCCACCGACAGGCGGGCCAGGGGAGGACAAGCGCGCGCGTCCCGCCTGTCCGCGCGCTGTCCGTTTCACCCCAAACCGAGCGCAAGTTTGGGTCGGGGATGGGTCGAAAACGGACCAAATCCGAACATTTGTCCGTTTGAGGCCGCGCGTTGGGCCGCCTCTTTTGTCCCTTTTACCCCAAACGGACGGGGGCGGACAGGATAGGGTCGCGCGGTGGAGTTGGCCTAACAGCATCTACAGCCACGTATGGCAAATCCGGACTCTCAAATGTCTGCGAATGTGTCTATACGTGTTTGCATGCACTGATTAGGCATATCTTAAATTTCATTTGTTGCATCCGGACATCTCATGCTCGATGATTCTTGTATCCGTACAAAGGCATGCAAAAGGAAATAGAACCTATGTACTACGTCGATCCTAGCTATTCCTCGTCGGAGATCACGACGATCTTTGTGCCCGGCTCCGGCAGCATTGGGCGGCAGCTGCAGCTCCGGCTGCTCTGCTCCGGCCTCCTCCGCAATCTCCGCGTCGAGCTCGGCGAAGAGCGCGTTGAACTCCGCCTGCCCCCTCCAGAGGAACGTCCGGTTGGCCTCCACATAGGCCTCATCCTGGATGGACTCCAGGATGGCCTGCTGCTCGGCCATCTCGTCGGACTGGGCGACGGCGAACTCTGCCTTCGCCTGCTTCATGTTGAAGGCTGGCACCTGCTGGTCCAGCTCCTCCGCCTCCTCCACCTCCATCGAAGCCATCTTCTCCTCCTCCTCTTCCCCCGACTGCTCCTCCTCCTTCTCCTCCGGCTCCGGCGAGTCCGGAGGCCGCCCGACAACGCGGCTTCCCTCGCCCGGATCTACTAGCGGCGCTTCGGCGTCAGCACGACATAGTAGGTGATCTTGCTCTGAACCATGGCGGAGTGCCGGAGCGTGGGCAGAGCGCCGGAGCAGGAGAGGGAGGAGATGGATGGGCTCGGACTGGCGGCGCGGAGATGGAGGGTGGGTTAGGGTTGCAAGATGCCGGCCGGCTTAAATAGCCAGACTTCGTCTTGGGCGGCGAGCCGGAGCAGCACTACGCGATGTTCATACCGCAGCGACGGACGCGGCATCTGTCGGACCGTCGGGTTTCCGGGCATTTCCTTGTGGGGCCACGCTGTCAAACCGACGTGGCGGGCATACCCGAGCATGCCCGGGCACCCCAATATCCGCCCCATATTTGGGCTGGATATGGGAGGTGCCGGTCAGCCTGGGCGTTTGAGGCTCGTTTAAGGCGTCCGTCTTGGTCAAAAAATCTTGGCCTGACAGCCCGCCCGGGCGTATGAGGCAGGTTTGAGAGGTCCGGTTGTAGATGCTCCAAGTAAGGCATCTCCACCACTCAATCGCAAATTTTCTCCGACATCCGTCCATGGACAAAAGAATCAGTCACGAACATGGATATGGGAGTCGGCCACACTGGACGCATACATTTAGTTGAAGGAGCCGGACGAAATTCATGTAAACACTGTGGATTTTCATATAAACCGGATGAGATTCATTACATTTCGAACATTTTTCATATAAATCGGATGAGATTCATTACATTTCGGACATTTTTAACTAAACCCTATTTTAAACCTAATCTAAACGACAACCGGCACCCGTTTCTCATGTCCCGCCATGAGCCCTTAGAACTGAAGCTCTGGTTCTTGCCTTCGCCTTCTCCAGTTCCGCCTCGTCGCTCTCCGCCTCCGCCACCGCAGCTTGAGCGGCTAATCGGCCAACGATTTTCAGCCCGCCAAACTTGGCTTTAGGCAGAGGGGAAGAGAGGTGGTCTTCTTGGGACCCGAGCAGGGGCGATCTATAGCCCGCCAAGCTTGTTTCAGTTTTGACTGGTTATGCATGCTCTCTGTTGGTTTTTTGAATTCATATTCCTTTTTGTGAACTTTTCCTTATTTAAAGATTAATTTTCCATCTTCATTTTTCAGACTCATCTCGTTTGTTTAATTACACCTCTTAAGAAATGTGCAACCTCCTGCCCATCCTTTCACATTCAACCACACACAAAAATGTTGTACAAGTTTGTCTAGTTCAAATGGAGTAAGTTCATAATGATGTGGAAGAGTAACATGTTGTAATACAGTTAGTCTTGAAATGAGGTTGCTTCGCTTTTGTTGCTACTTTCTTCAGTGTTTGACATAAATGAGTCAGTCCGGTGCCATGTGATTTTCCACGTTGCTAATCTAGAAATAGTTGAAATGGATTTGCTCAAGCAAACATGCAGCTGCTCTAGGATGCTCAAGAAAACATACAACATACCTTGCCGAAACAAAATTAATGTTCCTAACTTTAATCACATGATTTATGAAAATATTATTACGGATAATGAGGGAAAACTACTACAATTATGAAAAAATGGCATACAGCCTGATGAGCACTTTTCAGATCTTATTATGCATCAAGTGATTTCTGTTATAATGTTTTGCATTATTAATTAAATTGATAGTTACATCAAGAAAGATTGACTTGTTTGCCAATTTTGCCTTGGCAGATGGACAAGTGAGCTCTTTTTTTCCTGATCAGCTGTTGGTGATCTGCTTCCCTAAAGTTTGTGATTGTCATTCATAGTCCTGTCAGTACGTCTTACATTAGGGAGTTCAGCCAGCTCCCCTGCCATTTTATTGTTATCTGCTCTTAGAAATTTTGGAGATTCTCACAATATATCCAAGAGTAATATAGAGTTTTAGGAA